GGGGGGGGGGGGGGCAGCGGCTCTGTTTCCCGTATAGGGAGGATCGGCTCTGTTTCAAGGTTGCACTACAAATAAACCTTATCCGCCAGCTTGACTGAATGAGCTGTACATTTTCCTTCATGTTCTAGTTTCAGATGTCAGGAGAATAACATAGTGCTATTTTACTGTGACGTGGTATAACAAGAGTATCTGTGGCTAGAGCTCTTCTCACTCCGCTGCATTCTTTTTCTCCTTATTATTAAATTTTTTGTAAGTATGAAAAACGACAGCATATACTTCACATTTGTGGTCTGCACTCTTGATTTAATTTCCGATATATTCCATGAATAATTCACTGGAATGCACTAAGAATCTCTTGTTTTCTCCTCAAATCCTCATGTCCCTTTCCAGGTTTGTTTTCACATGGATGCTTTAAAAAGTAATTTTCTCCCCGTTTCACTTCTAATCCCTATCAGTCGTGTTTATTGGAATGTTTCTAAAGCAGGTAGATACAATATTTGTTATCTGTCAGAATGACAGAAATCACTTTATTATATAATATTATCACTCATTGTTAATGTTAATAGAAATAATTACGTTTTTGGGGTTATTCATGGTCTGTTGTAGTAATTTGTAAATGCTTTTATACTTTTACATTTAATAATTGATGGTTGAAGGATGAGTAGAATAATGTCACTTCATTGTACCCAGTTTTTGAAAAATGCTTGTTATTTCCTTAATAGAGTGAACCTTTCACTGATTGTTTAGAGTGTAACAGAATTTACTCCCATAATTCACGCAAAACGTCATATAGCATAGGAAAAGGTTGGATAAATGCTTTAAAAACTTTAACAGAGACCTCTTCTGGGTATTAAACTTCGACTTGAAACTGAAACTAAAACTTTGTGACGTTGGCTGTACAAGCTGTTTTGTTGACTTATTTCCACGGTTGAAACACTGAGGCATGATACAAAAGTGATTTCAGTAAGTTTACACACCAAGCCGACAGTCACACAGCAAATTTGGCTGAGAAATTATCCCCAAGAGAGAATTTAAAGTCATTATTGTGTTAAATGAGAAGCATCAAACATACATTACAAAAAGTAGCTTTAGAAAGAAATATTTTATTTGATTCAAACTTTTAGGCTACAATGGCCATAATTTTTTTTCTTTTTTCTTTCAGAACCTGCATCTGAATTGATATTTTGATATATTTACAGACCTATTATTGCAGCTCACAGGGTTTCCGCGGGTCTTAAAAAAAATCTTAAATTTAGTTGTATCAGATTTAAGGCCTTAAAAAGTCTTAAATTGTACAAGAAAGTCTTAATTATGATTTCAAGAGGTCTTAAATTTGGGGACGGAAAGACCAGAATTGCGATATGGCAGAATGTGACAATTAAACTTCAAAAGGCTATGATTTCATTAAATAAACATGAGCGCTGCACGTTCAAAGTCCGGTGCTGCGCTTCTTTGTGTTCTGCTGTTACCGGGGAAACAAAATATTTCTACCAAACGCTCCACCTGCTGTCAGAAGGAACGAGCATTTTCAATAAAACTAATGTTTTGTTCAGAGTTCAGACAAATGCAAAAATCGACCCATGTTTTTACCCTGAAAACATGCAGAGCTTTAAATGTGAACTGGTGGATCGATAAGAAGACAATGCATTATAAAAATCTAAACAGAATAGGGGTGTGCGATATGTATGGTCTGCGATAATATCGTAATTGTTGTTTTAACGATGTGCGATTTGATATTATCGAGTATATCGCGAAAAGCAAACAAAACACCTACAGAGTGCATGCATACATTAGGTGATGAAGTCTAGCAGGTTAGACTAGTGCGCGTGCACATTTATAGTGTGTTCTTTCACTGAATGAATCAGTCTATTAAAATGCATTTAGAATTATCACATAATTCAAGATATGGGGCAGAAAATGTATATATTTATATAATTTCATATAGTTAATATCACACGAAAAGTGACGTTTTTTTTTTCTCTCAAAGTCAGCATGATTACAAATGTGATATTGATTTTATACAACAGTTCAATAAACAAGAAGTTAATATTAAGAGACTTACGTTTTAGACACCATATTTCCTGTTTTGCTCTATTTCTCCAACAAAAAAAATTCCAAAAACAGCCACAGTTCTGTTTTGCGTCTCTGAGCAGCATGACGGTGTTTCGTTCCTGAATGAATCGACCGTTTAAATTATTCAATCGCAATGACTCACTTATTAACAGTGACTTGCTGCCACCTACTGGCAGTTTTAATTTCACATTTAAGGTACCTTTTCATTTTTTAAATAATTTCAAACATCAGTTTTCAATGTTTTATGTTTAAAATATCAAAACATTATTTATGCATTTGTAACTGCAGGTTAAAGTATTCCATGTCCCTCAGAGCTGCATTAAACAGTGTGTAAATGCATCTAAATGCCACTTCTAATGCAGCCTCTGTGTTTCCTCTGCATTGCAAAGATACATTTTGTTGATACTGATTTAATTTGCTTGGTAACAACCCAAATGCAAGAATTTGACTCAAAAGATGGTGCACACTTTTAGAAAAAATGGCTTAAAGTTAAAAATGCCCATAAAACTTGTTGAAAATGATTAATATCTATCACTGCTGTGAACTGACCACACAGAATATGAAGAATATAAAAAAATTCAGGAGTCAGCTGTCAGCACAATTAGAGATAAGATATCAGCACAATAACACATTCAGCAAAATATTGTCTAATTATCGTTATCGATAAAATCCCAGAAAATGATCATTTTTTTTGTCAATATCGCACACCCTTAATTTATGTTATTTAATTGATATAATCATTTATTGTTAATAATTGTTTAAATTAATATAGTAATTAATACTTTTGACTCATCCATTTTCTTAAAAATGGTTTAAAGGCTGAAATGTAAAGTTTATCATTTTATAAAAGTTTTTGTTTTTGCGAAAACTTGTATTTGAGCTGTATCTAAATTATGCTTTTTACAGTAATTTTACAGTTTAATATGGTACTATAGACATTGCCCTACCCCACTCATATGGTATTAATTTTATTTGTGAAGGTTTTAAAAAGGTCTTAAATTTGAGCTTAAAAATCCTGCAGAAACCCTGAGCTCAGCTATACATAATTTATGATAAAGCAAAAAAGATCAAACCCAAAAATACACAAAAACATCACAAAATATTAAAAGCACATCTATACAGGTATGTTTTCAAGCAACATTTAAAAACAGACACGCATTCAGATGATCTAATATCCACTGCCAACCTATTCTAAAGTTTTGGAGCCCTCACTGCAAATGCCCTATCTCCTTTTGTTTTATATCTAGTTCTTGGAACTGCCAGCAATTCATTAAAAAAAGATAAGACATCTCCCTGTTTCGTACGGTCTCCGAAGCTCAGCTAAATACAAAAGTGCCAAGCCGTTTAAAGCTTTTATATGTCAATAAAAGAATCTTAAAATCAATCCTAAAATAAACAGGTAGCCAATGTAAAGAAGCTAAAACAGGTGTAACTGTGCGTTCACACCGCTGCCGGCGAGAGTGTCAAAAATCGCTCTGGCAGCCCTGCCATCAACGCTGTAGAAAGATTCGTGGATGCTCTGACGTAGATCGAATGCTTATCTTGTATTTAAAGGGGCCGCAAAGCAAACAAGCATTTTGATCTTGTGCAGACTGACCACAAGGAGGATAACGTTATAAGTTAACCTCATTAAATGTTGTGGACGAAGTATTAAGATCCTTTACCTAATAATGTATAAAGCACTAATACCACACTGTAAAAATACTCTGATACAAGTAAAAGTCCTACATTGAAAATGTTTCTTAAGTAAGTATAATCAGGTATAAACATTACTTAATGTACTTATAATCAGGAAAATTGATTTAAAGGTTTAAAAGTGAACTGGGACTATTATACTATTATTTATTATATCATTAGATTATTATTACTATAACGTTAATGCACATCAGCAACTCACCAAGAACACCAACAATCTCAGAGTCAGACACCTTGGTCCACGCATCATTTTTTAAATTTATGTCCCTGTACGCAAACAGGGACACATCCTAGGTTATTGGGAAACCCGCCACAGCAATAATCAACCTCTCCTCCATTTTGCTTGGGAACTAATGAGGTCAGCACCAAAGTTTACAGGGCTGCATTCTCTGGAATCCTCTCAAGCGGTGGACTTCTACGTTCCGATTGGTTGCCGCCAAACCACATCATCGCTCATTACCATAAAGTTGACCTGATTTCAACTCTCCTTGACGCCCTCGCCGTCCAAGATGCGCCGTGCCGCTGCTCAACGCTGGCTCACATTGAAAATGAATGACTTCCGGCCACTTTGACGCTCTCGACGGCAGCGGTGTGAACACACAGTAATATGATAAAATAACTTTGTTTGTGTCAATAATCTGGCTGCAGCATTCTGCACTAATTGTAAGCGCAATACATTACGATGATTCAAAGAAGAAAACAAGGCATTACAATAGTCAAGTCGGGAAGAAATTAAAGCATGAATAAGCGTCTCTGTATCATTAAAATTCAAAAACCGTCTCACCTTAGAAATATTTCTTAACTGATAAAAACAAGACTGAACCAACTTCTTGACATGAAATTCAAAGTTTAAATTTGTATCAAAATAAACACCCAGATTTCTTACTACCTGCCTAATATTCGGAAAAACCCTAATTAGAGCAAGCTCAATTTGATTTTTACTCGAGCTCTGACCAATTATCACAATCTATTTAACATGATTGAAGGACATCAAGACTATTCAGATCCTTGGAACTCAATGATAAGTATAACTGTAAGTCATCTGCATAACAGTGAAGATGTTTTATTATGTTTTTGGATTACAGCACCCAATGGAAGCATGTAAATTGAAAATAAAATTGGTCCTAACAGGGATCCCTGTGGAACTCCACATACAACTTCAGAGCGTTGGGATACTTCATCTGCAACTGACACTACAAATGTCCTATTTGACAAATAAGACACAAACCAATCCAACGCCGTCACCGAAACCCCGACCCATGTTTTTAACGTATTAATTAAAATAGAATGGTCAACTGTATCAAAAGCTGCAGTCCAATCTAATAAAACTAAAACTGAACATTCACCAGCATCCTCTGCCATCAATAAATCATTATCACTCATAAAAGAGCAGTTTCAGTACTATGGTCTGCTCTAAAACCAGACTGAAATTTCTCAAAAATTGTATTCTCATTAACGACCTTCAGCAATTGCTTCACTACTGCCTTTTCTATTATTTTTTAAATAAAAGGTAGTTTAGAGATAGGTCTATAATTATTTTCAACTGCAGGATCTAATGAAGGCTTCTTCAGGAGCGGTTGAACCATAGCAATCTTTAGCTCCTCCGGAACACATCCAGAAACAAAAGAACTGTTCACTATAGACAGTAGAATAGGACCTATAGATCCAACCACTTCTTTAAACAGTCTTACCGGAACCACATCATTAAAACAACTAGAAGGTTTCAACTGTTGCACAATCTCACAAATATCCTGCTCTGATACAGGTGAAAAGGAATCCAACAATACCTCCCTACAACCTGGATTATCCTCACATTGAACCAAAGGAGGGGAAATTGAAGCCCTTATATTTGCGAACTTGTCCACAAAAAATGACATAATAGATCTACAATCTATAGGACTCAATGCAATACTAGGCCACGGGTTTGTCAAATCGTTAATTGCATTAAATAAAAACCTAGAATTGTAACGGTTGGTTTCAATTAAATTAGAAAAATAAGCAGATCTCGCAGCTTTGTCTTATTAAAAGACACCAATAAACCCTTCCAATGCTCAAAATACAGATGAAGTCTAGTAGATTTCCAAATTCGTTCTGCTTTCCGACACTTTCTCAGTGTTCATCTGTTCATTCACTTATGATCTCCTGATTTCTGTTTCTATGTGCTGCTGTGACATGAAGCCGAGATCTCTGAACAGCTAAAGCAAATGAGTAAGTTGAATTTAATATAAAAATGTCATAGGTTTGACACATCACTTAACTTATGTTTAAAATATATAAATGAGCATTTACTAGTAAATTATGTGATAAGTATTATTGGTGACACTTAACAATAAAGTCCTATTAGTTAATGTTACTAACATTAACAGTGAGTAAGACATTTCTTTAGTGGGTTAATACCTAACATTTTTAATGTTAGTTAATAGTAAACTGCTCATTATTACCTCATGTTAGATCAGATCCATTAAATAATATTTACAGGTGCAACTTTTGATTTTAACAATATATTAGTGAATGTTGAAGTTAACATGAAGTATTTTTTATTGTTCATATTAACTAAAGTAGTTCAATAGTGTTAACAAATGAATCCATATTATAAATTGTTTCTGTATTGTTTGTTGCTAATACACATTGATGATTTAACTAATGTGCGCACATACAACATTACTGTAATTGTTACTTATCATTAATATAAAGTCATTCAGATGAAGAACTGATTATTAGAAGCACATGAAGAATCACACAGCATCTTCTCAGTGTTTCTGTCATGTTCGTCTGTTCATTCACTTATAATCTCCTAATTTCTCTGTTTCTCTGTGCCGCTGTGACATGAAGCAGAGGACTGTGAAAAAGAATTACGTGAGTATTAAAACTGATGCAGCAAGAGTTTTGTTGTGAAACAATAGTTCATAAATGTACCATGAAAACAAGGTTGGTTACAATATATTTTGTCAACTTCACTAAATTTTAAAGATATAATTTATATTTTTACTCTGACCATTCACGTTGTTTTGTTCAATGTAACAGACTGGAGTGCCAAATGAGGCACTACTATACACTATGCACTTATACACTATGTACTTATGCACCATGTACTCAACCATATAATGTGTGAATTTTATAAAGTTATTTTGTCTTTCATAATTGCAGTTTGATAGCCCCTCCCCCTTTGCTACATAATTAAAGCGGTGACATTTGAGTGCATGAAGTGTCCAACCAGTGTTGGGGAAAGTTACTTTTAAAAGTAATGCATTACAATATTGCGTTACTCCATAAAAAATAACTAATTATGTTACTTAGTTACTTTTTATGGAAAGTAATGCGTTATATTACTTTTGCGTAATGCGTTATACTTTTTCTCATCTGGGCTGGGCTTGCTTGTTTTTTTTTTAAAGTTCTATTTTTGGCAAATGTAAAAGTCCTTTCACACCAAAAGTGAAATGAATAAGCTTCAGGCTGAGGAAATATAAATTCACATCTGTACAGTAGAGGTTGCAGCTCAAACAAGTCTGTCATAGTATTCAGCTTGTGTGCCCTCTTTAGCCTAACTAGAGGGCACTTCTCCCTTCACGGACATTCTGTTATGAACTCCATTTCCCAGACTACATTGCTCTGTCTCATGTGAGATTTTTTTTATTTATTTATTTTTATTATGCTTTAAACGACAGATACAAAACAATACAACAGACATTATAAAGCCAGGGTAAGAAAGAAAGAAAAGAAAATTGAGAAAAAAAAAATACAATCAGAGACATGCATGACCTTTACGTTACTCAAAGATTTTGAAGATAGAACACAAACTTTTTAATTGCCTTTCTATTAGTACTATGTTGAATAGTACACAAGTCATTTTCCAACTCTTTATAAAACACTGTAAAACAGTTTTTTTTGTTAGAAAATTTACACTTATGAATGTGAAACTTAACCAACAAAATAAATAGATTAATAACAAAAACTTAGTAATTTACATGATCATAATTAAAATATCCAAAACTACATTTTCGAAATGCAAATTAAAATGAAAGAGTACCTTTTCTTTGATAAAAATAGAGACATCATAACATAACTTTTTAACATAACTACAGTGCCAGAAGATGTGGGGTACAGTTTCCAAGTGCAAAAATAGCAATTAACATCAATATCCTTCTTAAACTTACTGAGAAAATGTTTAACAGGATAGAATTTATGAATTATTTTGAAACAGATTTCTTTTATCTTGTTTGGAACATGTGAGATGATTGCTGGCACCTGCTTCCATTTGGATCATTAGGGTCCTGCCTATATAAGCTATGTTTGTCTCTAACATTGTCATTGAGGTTTTACATTGTTACACTGACTTCTGAGTAGGGTTGTGCCGATAGACGATAGTATCGTGTATCGATGATAGTCAGAGATATCGACGATAGCAGATGTCTTTGTCGATAGTCAAGAGGATATTAGGCTCATTCTCCTACTAATGTATTGAATAATAATAATAATAATAATTATTATTATTATTAGGCGGCCCATTATAATTAGGCTATTATTATCAAATTGCCCCGCATTTTCATTCAGCACTGTATTTCACACACACACACACGCGCGCGCAAATGAAAAGCCTGTAACCGGTGAAGGAGTCTCCAAACACAGACACACATAGTCTGCTGATATAAGGTATTTCGTAGTAATCTGAACGGCCTATATATGTGCAATATTTTAACCGAGCCCTCACTAACTGAGTTTAATGCCACATTTATGTTAGAAAGCATCTCATTCTTATTTCTGTGGTGGTGCGTCGGGCTCATCATGGGGTGCGCGGTCCGGAGCGCTGTATAACTGATGTATCTGTTTAATTTAAATTTACTCCAAATATATTAACTTAATTGTTTTAAATACTTTATATTTAACGTGTTCGTTTATGTCCAATATTTAGTGTTAAACTGTTGGTCTTTAAAATAAATCTACTTTTGATTTTCACCGTTGACTGATTTTGCAGACCTTTTAGACTGATAACTTCCGAGCGTCGATGCGGCAAACTTGTCACAGGATGCGCGGTCCTAATAGCGATGTATGACTGTTGAATCCGAATATATATGAACTAGCTGTTTTAAATATTTTTGTATATAACATGTTAGTTTATGCGTATGTTTGAAAGTATATTATTTAGATTGGTGGTGCTTCCATAGGCTCCCTCTCTCTCGTGCACGTGGTTTAAAACACCAAATAGTTATGAAATAGCCTATGACAAGTACAGGGAGTTTCTCCCACCCATGCATGATAATATCGTCTATCGGCGATCTCACGGACTGGCGATATGACGATTTGAAAAATGACCATATCGCCCAACACCACTTGTGAGTTCTTTCGGTCTTGTTTATGTTTCATGATTTTTGGATCTCTTGCCTGTTTTGTGGATTATCCTTTTGCCTTGCCCTCTGGAATTGTTTATCTTTTGGATTTACTGGTTTCGACCTTCTGCCTGTTCTTGGACCATGTACTTGGATTTTGCCCTGTTTTCAATAAACGCTGCACTTGGATCTGCAACTTATAAATCTCAGAGCAGTTCATGTGACAGAAAACCTCAATCCCCTCAGATCCAGCAGCATGAATCTCCGTATTGCTTCTCCTGCATCTAAGAAGGAGCTAAGGGTGAGACGTCAGGGATTGATTGCCCTGCGTCAGAAAGGTTCGGGTGTAGGTGTATTTGCTCAGTTGTTTTGGACTATGGCCATAGGACTCAAGTATGATGATCCAGAGCTTATCGAAATTTTTAACAACTGCCTGGACTACCCTTTACCTTCATCCGAGCTGGGTGAGCTTAAGACTTTGGGTTTTTGGGGTTTTATTGACTACCTCACGTACTGACATCAATTGGCTAGGAGGATCGAATGTTTTTTTTTAGCAGCCAAGATGGCTGCTATGCCAGAGTCTCCAGCCAGCATGGGTGTTACGACAGAGCTTTTAGCCGTCATGGGCACCACCTTTGTGTTCCTGTTCGTCATGAACGGCACCACTTAAGCTATTAAGGTAACCCCAAGGCATTTGAGACTGGTCTCTAAGTTAGAGGAGACGGCCCTGACATCGGTATGCGCCATTAAGTCAAGCATAAGAGCCTCAGCGACAGTTCTGCTGTTTACTGTGCCTCCCACTATGGCAATGAACATTGTGAGTATGGAGACTGCAGATTGTTATTCAGCCTGTGAATCCACTCCAGTGTTTGTACCAGCCCAGGAATCTACTCCAGAGCCTACTCCTGCCAATGAGTTTGCTCTGGAGTCTGCTTCTGCTCTTGAGTTCACTCCAGAGTCAAGTCCAGGTCAAGAGTCCACTCCAGAATCCGCACCAGTCCAGGAGCCCTCAGAGTCTGCTCAAGAACCCGCTCCAATCCAGGAGTCCTCAGAGTCCACTCCAGAGCCCGCTCTAGTCCGGGAACCCTCAGTCCACTCAAAGGTCCACTCCAGTCCAGGAGCCTTCAGAGTTCACTGAAGAACACGCTCCAGTCCATGAGTCTGCTCCAGAGCCTGTTCTGTTCCATGAGTTCGCTCCAGAGCCTGCTTCAGCCCATGAGTCTGCTCCAGAGCTCGCCCCAGTCTATGAGTTTGATCCAGAGCCAGTTCCAGTTTGTAAGTTCACTCCAGAACCCACTCAAGTCTACGAGTTCACTCCCGAGCCTGCTCCAGTCTATGAATCAGTTCCTGAGCCCACTCAAGTCTACGAGTTCATTCCAGAGTTTACTCCCATCTATGATTCTGCTCCAGAGCCCACTCAAGTCTGAGTTTTTTCCAGAGCTCACTCCAGTCTATGGGTCCACTCCAGAGTCAGTTCTGGTCTATACGAGTTCATTCGTCATGTTCGATTCCGCTCCAGAATCCGCTGCAGTCCAGGAGTCCACTCAAGTTTTTGAATTCACTTCCGATCTCGTTCCTGTCCAGGAGTCTGCTCCTAAGACACCTCCAGTTGCTCCCGAGGTGGCGGCTTTTGCTGCAGAACCTCCCGAAGCGGCGGCCGATTCAGCTCCCCTCTGGGCGATGGCACCCACTCCTAAAATCTCAGTCTGCCCCAACACGATCAGAGAGGTCGTACCGGCACTTCCTGTTTGCTTCATGATCGCAGAGGTAATGCATGAACTGTCTGTTTGCTTCAACACGACTAGAGAGCTTGTAAATGAACTTTATGGGAAGACCTTAGTGGCCAACCTGGGAAGCCCTATGGAGGGCGCCTCTGAACTCCTTATCTGTTCTGTTACGGCCCCTGTGGCCAATACTAACCTCTCTGTGCCTTGTGTTACAGGCTTGCCTGGTCTAGCCATGCTTGCTCTGACAGATCTGCCCTGGGGGTCTTCGATTTTGTCATGGTTATTTTCAGCCCTGCCTGCTCTGTCGTGAGGATCTTCGAGCCCGTCTGCGTGGCTGTGGTGGTCAACCGCTCTGCCGTGGGGACCTTCGAGTCAGTCTGCGTCGATGTGGTGGTCATCTGCTCCGCCGTGGGGATCTACAAGTCTGTCTGTGCTGCTGTGGTGGTCTTCAGCTCCGCCATGTGGGTCTTCAAGCCTGTCGGTGCTGCTAGGGTGGCTTTCTGCTGGACCCTGGACATTTGCTGCTTGTATTACCCAGTTAGCCCTGGAGTCCTGCACGGCCATCGTTTTCTGTTTCCCTTCTCCTTCACGGACCTGGCCCACCATCCCGCCCCCAGATGCACCTCTGTTCCACCTCCCTCCTGAACTTTTCTGAATTCAGGTGGAGTGTCTGGTATCCGCTCCGTAAAGTGGGGGGGGGGGGAAT